TATAAATTTTATTTTGTTTCCATTACAAAAGATCTTTTTCCTATGTCTAATATGTCCTGGTAGAAATATTAGGTATGTCATTCATTCATTCATTCATTCATTCTTGGAATCTAAAAACCAATAGAATTTTTGGTGTATGCAGGTATATGGAAACTATCTTAAGTAATTTTTACTTAATACTGTGACTTGTTTAAAATTGTTCTTGAAATTGACCTTATTTTCTTACTGGAGAGTAAAGACTCTAGACAAGTAGTTCTTATTCATGTATTCACATAAATTGCAAATCAAAACTGCAATAAATATTAACATTGTAAGTATATATCATTTTAAAGATAATCATTTAAAGAACAGTGTTTCCTAAGAGCATGTATTTTAAGTTTGTAAACAGATACTACTTTCAATTTATGCAATTATGTAACTTGCAATATAATTTATCAGATTTTTAAATTATATATTATGATATAAGTTATGTTTGAACCATGAACCTATTAGAATGTAGGTTATAGCAATATAAGTATCTTTAATTTAAATTCATCAGATGTGGCTAAGATAGTGAGCTTTATTTCAAGTGTTTGAACTGAATTAATAGTTCACAGAGATTTTTTTTTTTTTTTTTTTTTTTAGTTATCAGAAATCTTTTGGCTATAGGTATGGCTATAATTTGTTTATGTTTTTGGATACTGTGCATTAGTACTTAGTCTTGAAGAGCATTTTCATAAGTGCAATGAAAAATGTTATCTCTACACTCATCCAGCTAATGCAATGATTTACTGGTTTTGGAGACAAAATTGTCTGATTTAGCACACATTATCACTATACCAATTATAACAGAATTTGTAACTAGAAATTATTTGGACATGTCACAAAGTTTTAATCAGGACAAAATTACCAATTTTAGAATGCTTTGTTTCTATTGTTAGTCTGTAATAAACTCAAGAAAATACATTTCAAGAAACAGAAAACTTCATAATACTTTCTTCTAGCTTATCCTTTGTTATGAGTTGCAATATTTTCTCAATTTAATGGTTGATATTTTAGATGTACACAAAATTATTTGTAGACTGAAATTTAAGGCTGGAAAGTTATGATTTAAAACACAAGTGCTATAGGAAAACAAACACTCAAACCATTTAAAAATAAATTGTACTACAAAAATGTGTGCTTAAAATCTATATAGCATTTATGTTTATAGTTGTGTAGCTACAAATAACTAAATTCAATAGCTAACTAAAATAATAGTCTCCGAGTATTTTGATGTCATGAATATTATTTCTTTTTAAGCAGCTAAATCTAATCTGTGGAACATGCCACTCCCTAACACTGTGAGAATGGAATTCCATCATTTCTCTGGTATAATCATAATCAGAGCTGCACCTCTACACTATGAGAAGGTGCAAAACTGATGTTCTTTCACAGCCACCTCTTCTATGTCCTTAGCCCTTCTCCTCTGCTGTACCTAACATCTAAAAATATTTTCCCAATATGCCATCACCGGCATCTTCATTTGCTACTTTTATTTAAATATTTACATCACTAAAATCAAATACAAAAAGAGAACGCAACAACACAGTTGGTGGAATTTTCCACCTATCAAACATTATTTCATCATTGTTTTCCTTTGCCTGGATTTTTTCATTAGTACTTCTTTTTCTAGGTTGGCACTGTTGTGATACCAGGAACACATGTTTCTCAGGCTAACAGTGGTTTTGGAGGAACTGGTTCTAAGATATGATTATTTATTAAAAAGTGTACTTCATCAAAGTAATATTTTTTTTGAACTCATAAGAGTTGTCATGGTCCTCTATCTATCTTTAATTCTGAATATCACCATTCCCAGCAACTCTGTTTAACCAAAAATATTGGAGAACATTTCACAAAGAATAAAATAAGTAAATTCTTTGTCAAATGTAGTTTCTATCAAGTTCCTTCCTTAAGTGACTCAGTAAGATCATCAACTAACATGATGTTTCTTACACCTACTAATGAATGTTCCTGGAGTACAATATTGAACACTCGTAGACAGTATATACATTTTGATGGCAAACATAAGATGTTCTATCTATAAGCCATAAATTAGACTCATAAAAATTTGAGTATTTAGGTACGATTGACTAAAACTAATAAATCAAAGCAATTTTAGTAAATTTTCTCCACTCCCTTCTACTATGCCTTACATAATATTATCAAAGAAATAGTCTAAGCTACCCCCATGTACATTTCCAGGCATATTCTTCTACCTTCTTTAGGTAAATAATTTTTTAAAAAAAGATGTTTCATTTTTTTAATATGGGGTACCAATTAAAAAGCAATAATTATGATTACTATGTATCATTTGGATCCAACACGAAAACTACAAGAAAACACATCTTTAATCTTGACTATCGATATTAACAGGGGAAAAGTAGTAACTGGCTTTTGGTTCTGTAATTTAATTTATATTCTGAAGAGAAAAGCCATCTTATAACAGTTAACAGCAGTAATTTTAATTTAATAAAGTCTTATTTTACCTTCTTATCTTAAAAGGCCTGGACTGGTGAAATATTTTCCTCAAAAAACAAAACAAAACAAAACCTAAAATAGGAACCAGTTCGGTCAGACTGACACCTAATGGAAACTTTTATAAGAAAATAATTCTGTAAAGTAAAGAAAGCTATGTAAGTATGAGATAAGTAATTAAATCGCTGTATCAAACAAAAAAATCACACACAAGAAATACTTTGTTTACCATGAGTGCAAGTTTCCTTTAAACTTTATTACTAACATTTGCAATTATTCCATTCTAAAACTTATTAATCATTTATGAAGCAACTGCAATCATAAGCCCAAGTGCCAGTATCAAATAATTAAACAAAATACCTTATTTTCAGAAGTTCTTTCTCATTCCCCCAGCAAAGACAGAATATTACCTCCTCCATTTCTAACAAACCTTAATAAGTGGCCTTCAGCTCAGTCTTCCAACCATACACACTTACTATGTAGCCAACCAGCGTGACACCAACTTTCCAGACATCATCTAAGAACTCCATTATACTGCTTCGGTCTACTTTTCCGATTTCCCAGTGAAACAATGCCACCAGTGGACATACATATTGCATACTGTTAAATATAGTATAAGTACAGCATTTAAAACCCCGTGATCCGTAACTGGTGGACCCCTAGAGAAACAGGGTCATTCAAGAAACAAGGGAAGAACACTAGTTAGGCATTTTCCTGTCAGTGATAGAAAAGACAAGTGCAGAGACACCACCTGTGTTTTCCTTTCTACTCATCCCATTCTTACAATGGAAATCGCCTTGGGAGCATCTTAAAAGAAACTTAGGTAGCTTGCAGCCACTGCCTAAGCCCTAGAGTTGTGAATGTAGATGCCCTGAAAGTTTCTGTGGGATCAGACAGAGGGGTAGAAACAGGGGTAGGAGGGGCCTGAAGCACCCTTCACTAGGAATTGTAAGTACTGGAAGAAAGGCCAGTAGCTAATGGGAGAACAGGAGCCTGTGTGCCTCTGCCTCCTCGAAGGCACCAATCTCTCCGCCTCCCCAGGCTTCCGACAGCTCTCGTGGGCAAGAACCCAGCGGGAAAGATGTAATTCTCGCCGGAAGAGGCTCATCCACCAGAGGGAGAAGGTAGCTAGGGAGCAGCGCTGCTCAGAACGGGTCCCGGAAGCACTGGGAAGGAAAGCTTCCCATTCCATTTCTCCTGCAGCATCCACTTCTCAGGAACTCGGTCTTCGCAACCTCGTGCAGCACCAACATCTGGTGGAATCTTCTGGGCGCCTGGTAGGGTCTTGTCCTCAGGGTTTCTCCTCTCATCCTTGAAGGGTCTCCACCAGAGGGGCGCTGGCATCCCGCCAGAGAGAAGGGCACGCTGCAGAGCTCAGTAGTCCGCGGCCAGCCAGAGCTGGAGCCTCAGCCTTCGCTTGCACGGGGATTGACTTCTCCAGCTGCAACCTGGGGATCCCAACTCCTGCCACGTCTGGTCGTCTCCGGAGTGCCCGGGCCTCCTTCAAGGGGTCCGTGGGAAGTTGTTGCTCTTCGCTCCATCCGAATTGTTTTATCCTCCATCAACATTTGAAACAAACACACAAAAACTGGAAATAGGTAAAGGCTTTCTCTTCCTCCTGTCCCTCCGCAGCAGACCTGAGAGGGGGTACATGCCTTGGGTTTGCTGGTGTTTGAGACTCGTCCTAAAAGCAGAGGCAGGGAAGGCAGCGCTGAAGAGATGTCCCAAAGAAACTGGACTTCTGAACAGTCACTGCCTGCCCCAACCTCTTTCAGGAAGGTTTCCAGTTCCGTGCTACAGTGCAGCCAATCCGCTTCCCATTCTGTTTCTCCACCTCTTCGCGGAGAATCCAAACAGAAAGAAAAAATGCATATATATACTTATGGGTTCCTGAGAGACCCTTTGCACTTCCAATCTGAAAGTTCCGCGGGGACCCAGCCCACAGTCCCCCGCCCCCTCACAGCCCGGCCACCGGCTGCAGAGTGGCTCCGCTGGCCGGGGGTGGGGCTCCGGCACCGCCCCGGCGCGGGATTCGCGAAGTCACGAGCTTCCGCAAGCTCGCGGGGGCACCTTCGCCCACGGACACGCCCTTCTTGCGGAGGCCGCCCCCAGCGACCCTGGCTGGGCTGCAGATCCCTGCAGACAGCGCTGCCGACGGCTCCAGGCCCTGCGGTCATTGCCAACTTTAGAGTCGCCAGTCCGCGTCTCTGCCCCCAGCCGCACCCCACCAGAGCGCGCAGACCCGCCAGCCGGGGACGCCCAGCAGCCCGCAGGCTCCGCAACGCAGACCCCTTCCTCCTTCCTTCCTTCCTTCCTTCCTTCCTTCCTTCCTTCCTTCCTTGCCTCCTGCCTCAGCCCCTCCCCTCCCTCCGCCTCGCCCCCTGCCGCCCCCTCTCTGCGTGCACCCATTTTACAGTCTGGGTCACCAGAAGTGCCACGCACAGCCTTTCTGGTGGACCCCTAGCAAGAACACCGGAGAAAGAGCAAAGATAAAAAAGTGCTACCTTGGCAACCACAGGCGTTTAGTGGCCAGCTGGTGGGCTGGGAGGGGCGGCCGCTGCCCGCCTGCCGCTGGTACTCTCCTCGACTACGCGTATTCTTAAGCAATAACAACGTAATCCGTATTATCCACCCAAGAATACCCGTCACCGAAGAGAGTCAGAGGACCAAGCTGCCGCTGCCGCTGCTACCGCTGCCGCCGCTACTGCTGCGCCGCCACCAGAACTCTTGCTGCTGAGCCCGCCCCTGGCTGGGGCTGGGCTGAGCTTGACCGGGACCATAAATCCATAACTCGATTTCCCTAAAGGAGAATCCAAAGCTGTGCTCGGCTGCTTCCTGCCCAAATCCAAATGGCTGCTCTAGTTCCAATTCTGAAAGACAGATCACAAAATCAAGCAGTTAACACAGAAGGGTGCTCTCTTTCCCACTGAGGAGGAACGTGGCAAGGCTCTCTGGGCACAGGGGTGATAAGCAGCCTTCACTTTACCTGGTGGTCTCCAGTGTGTGGCTCTGTACTTGTTCTGCTCAGTGCCCACTCTGGTCTTGGCTAGCGCACTCTAGGTGCTTTGATTGAGTGTCATGGCAGCGAGAGAACCCTGTAAGAGATATGCATAGTTAAGCACACAAATATTACAGATGTATTTGCTTTAGGAAAGAAGTGAGGCTCAAATAAAGGGTCACGCATGAGTGAAATTTTTAGCAGTGTGTTTTGGAAGTACATTTTTCACAAGCCCAAGACGGTAGAATATAAACACTCCTTTAATTTACTACTTGAAATTGAATACTTATAAATCTACAAAAATAGTCACCTCTCCTTTGAAGGCCTTACAGCTGTATACAACATAATGGTTTTTAAAGATAAAGAAAAAAAAGCTTCAAGGCACACAATAATCAAACACGTTTTCCATAGTATCTGAACTCACTAAGTTGGCAAGCTGTTGAAGTGTCTATGATTTGAGCATTGTTTTGTATTACCACAGTGTTTAATTCCACAGCCCACCCTTCTTATACACAATATTAATGTATGGGTGTGCAGCTGCCGTGAGACATCTACAGAAAAGCCTTTGAAGCTCTGTCTTCATAAAAATAATTTGAGAAGACGACCAAGAAAAACTCATTTGAAAAGTGACTAATTTTGGCATTCAGAGAGAGAATCTCTGATTCTTGGGTGATCAATACGGGTTTTACTCAAAAGCTTTGTCTTAACACCCTGCAGTGGATATTCTGATAATAGAGGTTTATTGTTCACTAAATAAAATGGACAAGTGCAACGTCACTACCCAAGACATGCTGTAGCTCCATTAGAAAGTTCTCAATTTGCCTTCCGCTTTACTTCTCAAATACATGGAAGTGCATCCATGCAAGTGGGATAGGGAGTCTGAAAACATGGCATTAGACATTATGATTTCTCAAATTATGTAAGTGCAAATAGCTCTTCATCAAGGAGTAATTATATAACAGAGTCTCTCCCACTACCACAACTCATCTCTGACCTGGTTGTAATTTAGGACATTTACTCTTAATATTGCTCTTATTATTGTTTTTATTATAACACTTCTCCAGGCACACCAACTCATCATTTTTCTAACATATTGCTTACAAACAGAAAAGTCAACATGAATTCTAGGTTTTATGAACGATGCTTGGTATAGAATGCCTCATACTTAAAATAATTCAAAAGAAAAAATAGCACTGCCCAATTACTACCCTATTTTACAATATTTTAAGATAACTCTTAAGTACACCATTTACAAAAACTGATGCCAATTTAACAAATTAATAAACACTACTTTCTGCTGTTACCTAACAAGCTATAAAGTAGAGCTTTTGCCTGATGCTATGATAAAAAAAATCCAGAAAGCTGACAGGTTCTCTTCAGCTTGAACTCCTAGAAACAAAAGCCCTTAGGGAAAGTAATGCAATAGTCTATGAGCAAAGTGTACATTTGCTTCCGAACTCTTCCATTTAAATTTCAACTACCATTAAAAGGAAAACAACACACACTATACAGATAGGGTTTGATTTACTAAGTAGAATGTTTTTAATTCAGAGGAATGGCTAAAGCACACACACACACACACACACACACACACACACACACACACACACACACACAGAACCATATAGTGCATCAGAATCACAGCATAAATATCCACATAGCTTTTCAATGCTTTCCAAACAGTCTCCTTTACTTTAGCTCCTTCACAATTACAATTAATCTCTCTCTCTCTCTCTCTCTCTCTCTCTCTCTCTCTCTCTCTCTCTCTCTCTCTCTCTCTCTCTCTCTTTCTCTCTCTCTCCTTTACAGGCTCATAAGCTTTAAGAAACTAGAACAACGTACTCAATAAGCTTTTCTTTCTACTCCAGTAGCAGTAGCAGTCCTCTCCCTACCTACCCAAACGTTCACCCGTTTCAGCACCTGGACGAGTGGACAGCTCAGCCCAGGCTGACTGCCGACAGCACTTGCAGCAAACTGACGCTCTGAGCTCTAACCAAAGCTCTCTCGTGCTTCAGCGGGGTAGCCTGACTTACGAGAACACCATTTCCTACGAGACCACTGCCGCTGGGTGCATATTCAATTCAAACCTCCTTAAGCTGTCGGATTTCCCCCACCCATCCACCCTCCCTCCTTTTCCACCCTCCACACAAAAACAGAAAAGGGAAAAAAACCCCAGTACTATCAGGTCGTTTGCTGATCAACTTACACTTCGCTTTTGAATATTGGGATACTGCTAACGGAGCAATATCATCGGAGGCTTAGGTCCGCATTAAGTACCTTTGTTCATCGACTCCTGCAAGCCATGTTTATTAGAATCTACAATTCTCTCGCGCCCCAATAACTAGAGGTGTGTTTTGCGGGCGGGGGTGGGGGTGCTTTCAATACCTTTTGATCTCTCAAGGCCACCGCCGCTGACAGCTGGTCCCCACTACTTTCCCACCCTATCCCCCAGCTCCCACACCTATCCCGCCTAAAGGCTTGGTAATTAGAAACCAAATATACATAAAGAAACGCGACAAAGCAATCGGTTTGAGGAAATAAGCCAATTAAACCAAAGCAGAAATCTCTCTCTCTCTCTCTCTCTCTCTCTCTCTCTCTCTCTCTCTCCCTCTCTCTCCCCCTCTCCCTCTCTCCCCTTCTCCCCCTCTCCCCCTCTCCCCCTCTCCCTCTCCCTTGGCTCCCTCCCTTCCTCTCTCTCTCCCTCTCAAGTAGAAAGGGGGAAACACCAAGGAGAGGGAAAAATTGGGAGGAGGGTAGTGAGCCCACTCTTACAATCAATGGGAAAAACACTGTACACATCTTTACTGAATAACACGCTCGTCCTCAGACAAAAAGAAACACGTTTACCGATGTAAACAGTCTCCCTCTCCCACACAGCCTTAACGTTTGCCGAGATTTGGCTTACGGTATAGCAAAGTAACTGTCACAAATCCATCTCGATTGAAGTGCTTACCCTCTAAATCCAGGTTTCAAGCGGAACTCCAACTGTGTGCAGAAGCCGGGGAGTCATCTGATGCGCGGTGAGGTGCTCCGGGCTGCGGAGCTGCTTCCCTCCGAGCGCGGGTTACAGTGTTAACAAGCCCTGGGAAGGGACCTCAGCGCTCTGCTCTGGCTGTGCCCCGGTGCCTTCGCGTGGTGGCGGCTTGCTCACGCTTCCGAGGAGTCCCAGGCGATAGCCTTCAGCTGATGCGAGCTTCCAGAAAGGAGTGGGGAAGGGAAAAAAAATCATCTAATGCAATCAAATCGATCTGATCTACACCATCTGTCGCCTGCCACTATACACAAACGTTAAAATAGGAAAACGGAAAACACTGACAGCCCGAGAGGATTGGTCTGCAAAGAGTTCATTTTTAGCAGAGCATAATTGGGTATGGTCGGCGTACAGTTACAAAAGCTGCTGTTAACCATCCAGTAGTGGATCCCAAACATGCTAATGGTGGATTAATTGAGGAAGATCTGACGTGCGAGCTTCATAGTCTCTTATTCATGACTTCCCAATGGGAAAGGACCAATGCCTTGTGGGACTATGGTAACATACAGTCAAAAAGCTGCTAAGAAAATGGCTGTGTGTTCACAGCACCTCTCTCTGATAACAAACATATGTCGACTAAAACGGTTTAGTAGAATGGGAGGGGGGTGCTGGAGAATAAAATATTCTTCCTGGGTGTAAGCAACCCCCATATTCTTTCCTTTAAGATAAGTAAAAATAGATGGCATATCTTTATCATAATGGGGGAAAGGATGTTTAAAAGGTTTTTATCAAGATCAAACTCTGCCATGTAAAAGAAACGGAACACTCCTGTGCAGCAATTCCTGAAAGAAAAATCTATTATCATTTTTTCTCCTTACTGTGATCAAAGTAGATCCATAGCGTGTACTGTCTATAGAAACTCAGCCCAGTTAATCCCATCAGGATTGACTCAGGGTTGTTTAATGCCAGGTACCGTTTTGACTTCTTGAAATCAGGATGCCTTTTGGGCAAGGCATTTTGTATCATTTAAAATGGACATAATGAACATTAAATGTGATTGCAGTCAGGAAACAGGGATAGTTTTTCTTTCTTTCTTTTTTTTTTTTTTAATTCTACAATCATTCCCTCCAACCCAAATCCCTTCGGTCTGTTTCCAGTCCTTTCTGATCAGTTGATGGTGTAGGCAAGGAATGGGGGAGGAAATGGAGACATGCAGGGGGAGGTAAAGACAGTGTAGATTATCAATAATCAATAAATTCTATTCTATCCACAACAGAAAAATAGCAAAACAGAGGCCATTTATTAATTATTGATCATATTTAAATATAAATCAGTTTTAAAAATTAATGTTTTATGCATTGAAAGGAAATATATTGGAAATGGTAGGGTGATTATCTCCTGTATATTTGCAATTATAAATTATTACAAAAAGAATATGGAGCTGATCATCTAGAAGTGTGACGATGCTTATAATTGAAATATTCCATATTTACTGATTTTTGTCCCTCATCTGAACAGTGAAAACTTTGACCATTTGATTCTGTTTTTGCTAAGAACACATTGCTTAAATTCTACTTTAAACAATTAGTGTTTAGGATAATTCTTGAAGTAACTAAATGTGTCTCCATGAAACTTTGATAATCTCTTTAAGAAAGAAACTTGTGAGTTATGAAGTACACTAATCTAAAATATAGTTTGAAGACAAATGAAACAATTTACCTGATCTTTTGTTTCAGTATACAATAATTAAGCACTATTTTCAACCTATGCAACATTCCAGGGTCATAGTCAGAAATCCTGGTCTAAGAGCTCAGCTGTCTGTCGTTATTCGTGTCAAGCTATTGCCCCCTGCAGGTTAGGCTGAGACTGCAGACAGAATTTGGCCAAATACTCAGGAAATTTATGGTAGAGGATGCCATTCAAATTTTTAACTTTGTTTACATTGCAATTTAAACTATTTATTCAGTGGTATACAGTAAATTGGGAGAAAAATGAGCAATAAAAGATGATTATTTGAGTTTTTCCTCCAAGAGTTTAGCTTGACTGAACCACTCACTTTGTTATAACATACAAAGCACCTTGGTGCACTTAACATAGTTTTCTCCATCATTCTTTATTATTTCTCCAAAAGAATCAGAAGGATTAAGGGGGAAAAAAAGTGAGACAGAATTGAAATTATGATTTTTCAGTGATGTAGTCCTTAGCAATTCACTACTTGGTGTCAGTGTGCTCCTGATAGAGGCAGTGAAGTTCTTTCAAATCAATCCTTTTATACTCTTCCCACTACTGACACGATGGGCACAATTACACTGTTTTTTTTTTTTTCTTGATTGTAAAATGAAACATTTTAATTTCCATGTTCCTGCTACCCCATCATCCTTTCCCACAATCAACTTCTCCAAAAAGGCACCTAGCCAAGATGAGACAAATTTATAATTGACAGAATAGAAATTAAATTACATCAACATTTTCTCATTATTAGAGTGCAGAGTAGGTTTATGGGAACAGTGTTAGAAAGTTTAAAGGAAGACACTTTCTTTCACATTTCAGAAGTCAGTGGTGTGGTTATTCACACTGAGCTGTAAAGCAACCTGCAATGATATTCTGCTGCTATTTAAATACACACCTTGTTGAGAAATGGAATATCTTATGCCAAAATATATGTTGTACTGTCAATTAACCATCAGTGAGTTTTATCAGCAAATATTAGAAGTGTTATCTGAACATTTTGTGAAAACAGAAACAAGAATAGCATTTTTCTGTCTTAAAGTTATTCTGAAATGCTCGCTTAAATAATGATTAGTTATAAGATTTAGGGCTTTCATCGATTTTTTTTTTTAACTTTAATCACTGGTGGTTTTCCCAAAGCCCCTAATTTTTAAATGGTCACTTGAAATTGGAATTGAAGTTGGCTATGCTATATTTTACACAAAGCTAACAGCTAACAACAACAAAATATCAATTTCTCTTTTTATTACATTTCTAGTGTGTTGTTGCATTCCAAGAGGACAGTATATCTATACACTAAAACCGTGGCCTCTAAGCTTCATTACCCACTCTTGCTCCAAGCGAAGGAGGCCTTGGACTAGCCTGCTGTACTATTAAATGCATAAGCACCTTGTAATCAGAACAGCAAGCAACTGGTTGCTTGCAGCCAACAATTCTTGCTGCCTTTCAGAAAATGTTAGTAAAGGAAAGAAAGTTCGCCTTCCTTTGGAAATCATATATGTGTGATATAATTATATACTATTGTTTATATGGAAACATCGCTATTGAGCCGCAAAATTCCAAATACCTAGATTCAAATGGCTGTCAATTACTTATCAGATTTACTCTTCACAGTCCAGAAAAGAGAGATGACCTCATAAGACCTGCGTGTTTGAATCAAAGAGGTTTATAAAGTTCTCCTCATACCAGTCATAGCCGATTGTAAATGTCCTGAATAATGTGACCCTACGTTTACTAACCCAACCTTGTTTCTAAAGAATCAGAAAAGGGTTCTAGAAACCTTGTAGTGTTGCTATCGAATCCCAGATTATTAAGCATTTGTTTCCTCAGGAGTCAAAACCTTCCAGTCTTCTTCACCTGTGTACTGCGACTCCTCTGGGTTTCCACTTGACAGGGTGTGTGTGTATGTGTGTGAGTGTGAATCCATCCAGAAAGTGCTTAAGTTTCCAGAGGTTTTTCAAATGCAAATAGGGTGGGAGTGGTGGAGGTGGAGATGGAATGTGCTGTGTGGGTGTGGGGGGATTTGGGGAGAGGGTGTTGGGGGGGGGAGCAACTTTATACAAATCCCATATCATCGCTATCACTGCAGATCAAAACAACTGAGGTCTGAGAGACCTCCCTAGAAACCTACAATGCCTTTCTCATCTAAAGAGAGGCGAGTGCTCGCGCAGTTTTGAGAAAGGGTCGTGCAGGGAGCCAGAGGCCGGTCCTAGTGGCCTCGGGCAGCACTGGGCTCCCACGCGCGGTTCTGCAGCCCCCGGGCTGGGCGACCACGTCCCGGCGCCACTGAGGTCCGGCCCTCGATGCTGTCTTGGAGCCGTGCCCCGTCCGGGAGAGCAGGGGCCGAAAGCTGCGCCTTCACCCGGGAGCTCAGCACGAGGACCGGAGGCCCAGGAGAGGTGTGGCTCACTGGGGACACCCAGGCGGACCGGCCCAGCCCGCGCTCTGCAGCCCCAGCCGCACGAGGAGCGGGCCCGGCCCGGAGCGCAGCCGCCCGCACCCGTCCGCGCGCCCGGGGCGCCCTGGCGCGGAGCCCGCTGCGGCCTCGCGGGGAAGACGCCGCCCGGGCAGGGAGGCCGGAGCCGGGCCGGAGCAAGATCGGCGCCGCGGGACTCGGGCGAGGGTCCGGCCCGGCTGGGACCGATCCCAGGGAGGTCCCCGCGTCTCAAGTAGCCAGGGGCCGCTCCCCGCAGCCCCGGCGACCCCACGCGGCAGCAGCCCTGCGGGTGCTCCGCGGCTCCTCGCCGTCCCTCTAGCACGCCCCTCTCCGAATGCCCCGCCAGCGCCAGTCCCGGGCTGCGGCGGCGAAGCCCACCGAGCCTGGAGAAGAGCGAAGGCGCCCCCTGCTGGCCAGATGCGGCAGGCGCGGCCACCGCTCGCTCCCCGACACCCTCCCGCCGCGGCCCGCACGGACCCAGCTCCACCCTCCCGGCCCCCCGCGAGGGGGACGTGTTCAAAGAAACAGAAAACAAAACACAAACAAAGCGCCAAATCCACTCTCACCTGGTTTGCTGCTCTAAGGTAAGTGTGAGTTCAGCTTCTCCCATGTGTCTCTGACCTTCCTCTACACACACCTCTGAGGTCTGGGGGAATGGAACTCCTCTCCCCAAATAAATCATTGCTTCTCTTGAAAGCACGTTTTTGAAAGCATCAAGATGACACACACACACACATACACACACACACACACACACACACACACACACACACACACACACTCCTATTCAGTCAAACCCACACTTACCAGTCAGGAAGGAGCATTTCACTAGCTATTGGAGGAAATGTTTACTGATATTTCAGGTTGTAGGCAATGGCAGTAGTCATTCTGTGAATTGAGGAAACAAAATTCTTTGTAGCTTAATTTTCCTTCCCTATCTGTGCATTTGAGTCCTACTTCCAGGGTCAAGGCCTGGCCCAGGTAGGAAAGTCTCATCCTCATCCAGAGGAGAGGCAGATGCATCTACTTCTGTAAGGTTTTCTGTGCCCCTGTCTCCCCCAAGCACCAGGAAAGGATCTTTTGTTTATCTAGGCAATTCATGACTTACTTTTGTAAGGCTTTTTCAAATTAGCTTAGCCTTGAACGAGGCTATATGCTTTGAGTGGCGTGGTTTTCCTGTTCTCAGGAAGAGGTTTTTAGAAATCACAATGTTTCTTTCTGTTCCAGCAACCTTGAGTGAGTTAGATGTGGGCATAGAATCTTATCATCATGACTTTCACAAAAGTCTGTTGTCTCTGGATGTTTACTGTCTTTGCACAGACATAAGCCCTTACTGCCATGAATTCAGGCAAATAAGTATAGATAGGCCCAGTAAGGGACTGGGGCTATTCCTTCTATTTTTGGTTTCTGGGAAACAAAATTAGAAGACGTTTTACTATTCTTGAAATTACAGTGGGCAAACTCGAGGGATCTTTTAAATGGCATCTGTCTTCTTTCTTACTGTTTTCATGTGGATAACAGAATCTTTGATTTTAATATGGAGAGGAAGGAGGCTGTTTTGAGGAGCACTCTGATTTCTCTTTTTTATGTCCATCAATCTGGTAGACTTGAGCAGGCCCTGGAGAGTTAATCCTTGTAACAGAGGGTAAGATAACAATTGTAATAATAAAAACTACCATGTTTGAGTATTTATTGCTTGGTGCTGTGCTGTGGCCTCTGCCTTGAGTATCTCATTTAATTTTCACTAAAATTCTAAGGATTAAATACTGTTATAGCTTCTCATTTTACAGAAAAGGAAAGGAAGGTTTCAAAAGGTGAATTTACTTACTGTTACGGCAGTAGGTAAGCAGAAAAGTGAAATGTGAATGTGAATTGCAGACGTGATACCTTGAGAAACCAGACACACTGTATTGAATTCAGACTGGTAGTTGAAATGGTAGTATTTTTAAAGTGTGAGCTATAGTCTCTTACAAAAACAGGACCTTTGTCCTGGATAGAAATATTTCAGTAAAAGGAAATACTGACTCTTTTTAAAATACTTTTCATGTTTTCATTCCCATTTCACAGATAAAAAACAGAAAGTGAACTTACATAGCTATCACAGGAAAGTGCATAGGCAGACTTTAAAACCAGAGTTTGGATTCCAGCTACTCTATCCATTCCACTAAACAACAATGCAAAAACATAGATTTACTTCTCTCGAAATGGTAAATAGTGGGTCATGAACAGCTCAGAGTCCATAATTCTCAGTGATAAGCTTTCTTTCACTTTCATTGTGGACACCTTTTTACACAGAAACAACGGAAATTTAGAAATAATTCTATTCATAATTCTATTCCCATTGCGTAATTAACAACATAAAACTGGAGAAGACTGAAATTACTATGTCAGTTTTGCTTGAAAAACATTTAAAGCAGTTATAAAGATATCTGGAAGGCCTGTCTCAGGACAATTTCGGTCATCTTCACCTCCCCAAACCCATCCTAACCTACTCCAGGAAAGTCATATCATATTATATTTCACAAAGGAGTTTAATATTGATACTTAGGTGCTTTTCATCTCCAATCATGTATTTCTCCTTTGCAACAATGAATGGTTACGATAAAAATGTCAGAACAAATCTATGAAATGAAAAAAAAATATATGTGTGTGCATGTATGAATTAATTGACCAATGAATTTTGACTGTCACATTTTAATGTACACTTATAATACACTGAGATATATTGTAAAAATGGATTTACTGTGTGTGTACAGGTAGCTCAGACCCAGAATGTGTTTCGTAAGATGGTTTTAGGGCTCCTGTTTTTTCTCTTGGGCTCAAGCTTCAGAGGACATCAGATGAAGACCACAGACTGCTTGACTGCGACTTCTGTGTATTGACTTTCTCAGTGATTTGTGTGCAGGCTATTTGGCCACATGACCTCTTGACATGTTGGCTATCTGTGATTTTTCTAAAGCTTTAATTTAGTTGAATATGATTGTTATATCATGTTGGGAATTTCTTCCCTCCCACCTCTCATTAAAAATCTTAGTGTGAGCATCAGTTTAAAATTATTATGCTATATAATGAAACCTGCTTATCTGTGTGACTTTGTGCCATAAATCCTTGCACAGATTATTAGGCCTGAAGCAATTTTTGAAATTATCCAGCCTAACCTTTTTTATTTTACCCATAAATAAATGAATGCAATCAGAATTCTCAAAGTCATCCCTAAGTTCAGGAAGGGAAAAGGCCTGGAACCCAGGCTGTTCCATATTCAAGTTTTTTCTACAAACATTTTTCTTAATTTTTTTTTTCAGATTAAGTTTCTCATGTGTTATAATAGGCAAGACAAACAAAAGCTCGCTGACATTCATCTGCATTGCTATATTAGAGAAATTTGTGGAACCAATGGTGCCAAATACTGAAGTTACTCACTGGAAATTAGTAAGTAAATATAGCAAACCTTAAACAGGAAAATGGAGCTTTGTTAGCTGATCTATTCATGGATCAAGGATGAGTCCTCCAGCCTCTTTCTTGATAGGGATAAATGTCTGTGGGAAAATATAGACCGCAGGAGTTGAGATAAAGAAACAATAAGGAGGTTAAATAGGAAATTGTTCAACTAGATGCTTTTTTAAAATTATACATTATGAATAAATATGAGACTGTCCTAGCAGGTGAACCAAAGGGCCAAGAAAATAGTCCATTATAATTGGCTTCTGTGACTGATTCAGCTTTCGCCTTCTAAAATATGGTACACAGCAGTCTCCCTCCTTCTTCTCAAAGGAGTAATTGGGAAAGAAAAGGTATCGCAAACTCAGTCCTAAAGAATCCTAATTTTCTCTAATGTAAGATTCATAAAAAGCAGTATTTCCAGGAAATGGAGCTGGTCATTACAAAGAAAACAAAGAAAATGCTGGTCTTTGAACGAAAAAATGACCAAATGATTAGGATCGTAATGACTTTAAAAATACCTCATCTTCTTCCTTCACAAGAATTTTGGGCTGATACAGTTTGAAAAATGAGAACCAATGGCTGATTTTCTTATGTCTTTATTTATCACTAGTGAGACACACATGTTTTGCAGGACTTATGGTTTTTGATTTGAATTGAAGCTACTTTTTGGCTTGGAATTTTAGTTATTGGGGAAATGGGAGAAAGAGGAGGGAACTGTATGATATTGAAGAGGAAAGCGTACCTTTATTATACTATTTCTTACAAATTTAATTTGTATTTGTTCTGAGTTCTGGTAAAGGAATAATATAAGAGCAGTACTTTATCATATAATTGGTATTAGAAAATAATAGTTTGGCTATTTCAGTTGTTTACGTATTAGTTATGTGATGGCCGGGACTGGCTGAAAGAAGCTGTTGGATGAGAATCCTGTAGTACTACGGGCTACCTAAACCCAGTTCATGTACTATGAACTATTGAGAAGCTTGTGAGAAATTTCTCTTTCATGTTATCTGGTTGTCCTGTGGTGGTATCAACCAAGGAAATGATTAGGTTGGAACCTCAGGAGAGTTACTCAGCTAAATGCCTCCAAGCGTAACTGAAACCCAACTACAGCTACATGGAGTGTTGAATTACAGGGAAAATGGCTGAGTTGTTATCTCTACTGCCTGTATTATTGAGATTAGGATCATAAGTAAAGAAGTCTGTTTCTCTTCTGACTTTTTCTGCCCTGAGGCCAGCTGGAGAAGCAATAGCATGTTCCCTTTCCATGATCACTGAAAAAAGCAGAAGATCTTAAATAAAGGAGAACATGAGATCTGAGATCTTTTTGATCTGCTGTAAATTGGAGTGAGCTTATGGAACAGTTGTGTTGGAAGTCCCAAGTGATGAGATGGAGGTTATCTTTCTGGAGGGGTGCAAAGGTCTTTTGATCTACTGCTTTCAGAATAACTCTCTGTAGAAAGATATATGGACAGATAGAAAAGGTTGAAAAAATAACAAATCTCATTTGAGTTGGGAGTTGAGATAAATCTTCAGATTTATTTGCTCTGCACTAAGCATATACTAATACAGCTTTTGTATATTTCAGCCACACTTAGGTAGACATTAAATTTTAGGAATAATTTGTTTATAGAAAATAAAGTCATTTCTATTTGAAAACAAATGAAAAAAATAATTATTTCTCCCCAAATGTGTACCCTTTTAATTGATCAAATGCATCCAAGAAATTCTGCTGGCAATTTGAACACTCTGTAGGTGTTGTTGCTGCTCTAAATTTGTCTGCGAGAGGAATTGTAAATGGTATTTACCTTTTAATTAAACAAAACATCTTGCAAATTAAACACATGTTCTTGCACATCAAAATTTAGTTAACATCCTTTTCATTGTTCATCCTGCTGACATTCTGACAGCGTCATGAGTCCACACACAATATAGAATCGTGCTGCTCCCCGCCCCTCTACTTTGCATTCCTCAGAGTAGATGATATCAGTTGCTAGAGTACACTCTGTTACTGACTTCTAATAACTGAGCAGCTTTCTCCACTTAATATACTTAATATTGTGTAAAGCTCAGGACTACACTGGCATGTCCAGAACCTCAAAAGCTTTGGACACTGATCTGGCGTATGTCTTATAATCTCATGCTGGATATTTGACAGTGAATGACAGAACACCTTAGAGGAATATAAGCAGCTGATAAAGGCAGAGGCCCTGCATGGGAATGCAGAGTCTGGTGTCTAATAGCTACATACTTTTTTACATGCAAACCAGTAATTTGACATTTATAATTCACTGCAGAGCTGAATTTCTGTCATTTTCTTACTGTCAAGTTCTCCACATTTTGAAATAAATGTCCCTTCTAATTATTATATGAATTTGAACTCCAACATTCAATTTTCCCCCCTGTCCCTTATAATGGAGTACTACATTTGGCTGAAGTCTGATTTGCAAGACCATTTAAGAAATGTGATCATTTCAAAAAATTTCCCACAAACTATACAGGGGAACCCTTTCTCTTGATTGTATTCTGCCTTCCTTCTGAAAGTACAGTTTAAAATCCATCCATCAGTACTGTTTCTAAGAAAATAAGGTTATTAATGGCAGAATGAAACTGAGATAATTAGGATATGGTCTTAATGGAATGGAAGTCAGAGAAAGGTTTTTCCAATAAAGCAAAATTGTAGTTAATGACTGTCACTCAACTGTACCAGTGCTCATTAATCTCTTTTATTTCTGTTTACTTATGATTCATAAAATTGAAATAAAGTCATTTGCTTACAACATTGCAAAAGGAGTAATACTTCCTGATTTAAAGAGATGCAACTCATAATAGTTAAATAAAATCTGCAATGAGATGAAGACTTTCCTTCATTTTAGAGCATCTTCGAGATTTTTGTCTTAAAAATAAGAGATTATTTTCATGATTAGTGTTCAGTTTGAAGGTACAGGCAACTGATGTGTTGAGGATACACTACTTGTGATAGAAATTGTTTAGGAGCGCACAAATTGATAGTGTGCATCTGGGTGGAGAAAAGAGGAGGGAGACCCTAAGTGTCATCCGAAAAAATGCTTTAGATCAAAGGAATAAAGCTTTAAAACCTCAAAGTAAATTATAAAAGTACATGTTTTTGCAAATATAGAATTTTATATTCTATAAAGATATTTGTAATATTTTTGAATAATGCTGTTTGTTGAAGAATAAATTCAAGGCTTTTATAGTTAGGTGGATGTGACTTGAGACTATATTCCTGAGATAAATCAGACTCACACGTGTTAACAACTTGTCTCACTAATGTGAGAAGCTGAATAAATGCACAATAGATATTGTAAATTGGGAAGAAACTGCTCAAAAGAAAAGAGAAACTAATGGAGGAAAAGGGGAAGGAAGGAAAAGAAAAGGGAAAATATATATACAAGATAGTGAACACAGTTATATAGCTAGTTTCCATTAGTTCACTGAAAAGAAAGATTTGTGTTAATGTCTTGACATCATTTCATGCCTATCTCTAGCACTGACTACTATGAAAATAACAATGTGCGATGTGTTAATTATTGTTACTCTCCAATTAGCCTGATTTGAAACTCTTTTATTTTATTTCTATTTTTCTTCTTATTCTCTTTAAATTAAAAGAAAGTATTTGGTCTTAAAAAGTAAACTTTTACATATTAAAAGCAGAATATCCTTCCTCAATTTCAAGGAGATGAATTGAATGTAAAGTCGAATAGGATTTAAAGTAATCAAACTTATTTTCTGAGATTTAGATAAGAGCAAAGAATAGGAATTTTTACCAGTTAAGAAATTTTTATATTACTATTTGATTTTATATCAGTACAAATTTCTGTGGCATTGCTTAAGCACTTCACAATTTAACTGAATACAATTTCCCAACTACAAAGAAAATCTATGCCGGTCAACAAGTTTCAGAAATATTGATTGGAACTTGCACTGATGTGTAAAATGTGCCTGAACTATAGATGTAAGATTTTCCATGTGAAAAAAAAATTTAAACTTTGATATTGATCTTTTTGCCATTTGGTTTTTACTAGACTTAGGCCAGCTAATGCATTGATTTGACTTTTTATAGAACCATCCAAATGTGTAACCATTTTTTTATGAGTGATGTATGAGACTTCTAGAGTATTTTTATATACAATTGATAATATGGTTCTATGCTATTTTATATAATAATTTCCAAAAAGTGAACTGTGCCTTCATAAATACTATCAAATGGCCATTGTTTCCTTAGTTATTGCTAAGTGTCAATTGTTTGATCTATCAATTATATTACAGTAGCTCAGAATGGGAAACCGGAAGTCCTCCAAACTGACCCCAATTAGTGTTTTTTTTCCCTGTCAAGATATTTTTTTTAAAAAATGGAATTTTAATAGCTTTGCATGGTGCATAGATTGTCCAGTAGCATAGTCTCTTCCTGCACATACCATCCTGTTGTCCTTCTTTCACACATTTTCTCTTTGGTTCTACAAATCCTTTTGAGTCTATGATTATGGTAGAAACAGTCCAAAATGGAATTTTTAAAAGATAGACTTCAACTAAGTTAGATTTGTAAACAAATCTAATTAAAACAATTCTAAACAATTTGGCTAAACAAATCTAACAACTCTTTCCAAGGTCGGTGTCACCCTTCCTAACATGTAGGAAGTTCTGAGTTCATGCAATCTAAAAAACATTGTTAATGCACGAATGAATGTGATAGATACGAAGCCATAGCCTAAGTGTCTCTGATCCTAATCCCATGTTGATGGACCTTGCCCGCAGTTTTCAGAAGGAACATCTTTACTTTTGTGTTCAGGAAATTTGACTCTGTCTTTCTGCCTAAATCAAATGAGGCTTAAACTAAAAGCAATTTGAGCCAAAGGAGATTCATTCAAAGGTTGGTTTCAAATTGAAATCATGTAAACACAACAACTAAATGTACAATACTTTCCAGAAGACCTAGAAAATCACATTTACTTCCAATAAAGTCATGA